ATAAAATATTCAGTATATTTATTTCCTTTTTAACAAAATATTCAGTATTTATATATAATTTCAAACTACATCTAGTAAACTTTTAAGGGACATTTGCGAGTAAGCCTAACCTAGAATCATGCATCAAAACAGGTTAAAAACATTTTCCGGCTTTTTGAAATCAGTAACTTACGGGTACATCAGACTACATCAAGTAAACTTTTAGGGGACCTTTGCGAGTAAGCCTAACCTAGAATCATGCATCGAAACAGGTTAAAAACATTTTCCGGCTTTTTGAAATCAGTAACTTACGGGTACATCAGACTACATCAAGTAAACTTTTAGGGGACCTTTGCGAGTAAGCCTAACCTAGAATCATGCATCGAAACAGGTTAAAAACATTTTCCGGCTTTTTGAAATCAGTAACTTACGGGTACATCAGACTACATCAAGTAAACTTTTAGGGGACCTTTGCGAGTAAGCCTAACCTAGAATTATGCATCGAAACAGGTTAAAAACATTTTCCGGCTTTTTGAAATCAGTAACTTACGGGTACATCAGACTACATCAAGTAAACTTTTAGGGGACCTTTGCGAGTAAGCCTAACCTAGAATCATGCATCGAAACAGGTTAAAAAACATTTCCGGCTTTTTGAAATCAGTAACTTACGGGTACATCAGACTACATCAAGTAAACTTTTAGGGGACCTTTGCGAGTAAGCCTAACCTAGAATCATGCATCGAAACAGGTTAAAAACATTTTCCGGCTTTTTGAAATCAGTAACTTACGGGTACATCAGACTACATCAAGTAAACTTTAGGGGACCTTTGCGAGTAAGCCTAACCTAGAATCATGCATCGAAACAGGTTAAAAACATTTTCCGGCTTTTTGAAATCAGTAACTTACGGGTACATCAGACTACATCAAGTAAACTTTTAGGGACCTTTGCGAGTAAGCCTAACCTAGAATCATGCATCGAAACAGGTTAAAAACATTTTCCGGCTTTTTGAAATCAGTAACTTACGGGTACATCAGACTACATCAAGTAAACTTTTAGGGGACCTTTGCGAGTAAGCCTAACCTAGAATCATGCATCGAAACAGGTTAAAAACATTTTCCGGCTTTTTGAAATCAGTAACTTACGGGTACATCAGACTACATCAAGTAAACTTTTAGGGGACCTTTGCGAGTAAGCCTAACCTAGAATCATGCATCGAAACAGGTTAAAAACATTTTCCGGCATTTTGAAATCAGTAACTTACGGGTACATCAGACTACATCAAGTAAACTTTTAGGGGACCTTTGCGAGTAAGCCTAACCTAGAATCATGCATCGAAACAGGTCAAACTACTTTTGAAGAAAAATATTGTTTTTGGGTTTTTAGGAATGACATATATTTATTCTATTATTTATTTACATCACATGGTTTAAATACAACATTTTTATTTCTTTAAGTTACATTTTTATTTAAAATAAAATTTCTTACATTTAGCTAATACAATTTAAATAAATTAATATCTGAAATCTTGCTTGCTTTCCAGTCGAGGATGCTTTTCACGAGATAGTAGTGTCGCTGTCATAACACCTTCGCGATTTTGCTCTAATACGCGTTTTGATACATTAGCCAGTAATTGAACATGTCTCTCAGTTCCCTGAATGTGGACCGGAATTTTAGGGTCACTCCATGGACACTCATTGCTTTGTAGATATTGTACTAGATGTTCATGAGGAATATTTAGCGTAAAGGCTGGTTCGGATATATTTGAATAATCATCCATATCTATCATATTGGTATAGTCGGTGCATTCGAAATTTATTTCGGGTGTTTTGTAATCTCTCAATTGCGTCAGGTCTTCCACATTATTACGGTAATATAAGATTTTCTTATAGCTGAATCTCGTATTTCCTTTTTATTATCAAACAACATTGCTAATAAAATATTTTCTGAGTGAGCATAGTATGCGTTTTCTTTAGCAACATTGTTCACAATTTGTCTCAAATTCGAGTCTAAATATTGCGTCCAGCTAATAAATTTATAAAATAATATACTACCATACACCACAGAGTTGTAATATTTAATGTTAAAGTACATTGGAATATATACTTTCATTACGTAGTTTGCCAGAATTTTCAAATTTTTGGATGGCTTATTAGTAGTTACATATAACCGAAGTAACCTACTAGCCTTCGTGAGCCAACGGGAATGTGCTATTGGCCCTGGTTTCATGTTAGCTAAGTCTGTCGATACTTCTCCAGAAGCAACTGCTTTAGCTATTTTTATTAAATAACTTGAGTCAGTTGTCGATTCAGCAGGACTTATATCAGCCAAATTTTCAAGTGGGATTGTTTCAAAGTCTTTTACCGGCTGGAAGTATATAGGAAAAAATAAATTATATTGAATTTGAACATAGGGTATTAAAAATAGTAAATATGTTATAACTCACCGGTATATTTTCGCATGTTTCAAATTGTTTGCTTAATATTCCAGTTTTTGTTCGTGGTCCAGTGGTCAATGATTTTTCCAAATAGTTAAATAAATGGCGAAGTGGAAGTTCGTTAAAGTGGAGAAGACACACAAACCAATGCAGTGGCCTGTTTAACTGAATTTCAAATCGACGTAAAATACCATTTTTCACGCCTGTATTTGCTGGTTCACCATCGCAACATATGCCTATCAAAGAATCGAGAGCTATTCCTTTATCGGCGAAAAACTCGTTCAATTTGATTACTTTACTTTCCGAATCTTCATTTTCCAATTTTGTGTAACCCAACAATTGGCCATTCGGTTCCTTTAAAATAACTAAATGCGCTTCTTTAATCATTCGTGGGTGAAACTTCTTATCGATTTTTTCCATGGTAATAGAATCATTTTTTCGGCCGTCGAATGAAAATGCTATTAATTCAGAAGAATCATATCGTTTGTGTAGAGCTTGCCTATTTTTCTGCCTCTCGCGAACGCTTTTATTTTTGTCCATAATGACAGGATTGCCCCAATCATCCGTTATGCCCAGGTCACGCAGGATTGCCGTCACCACGCCAGACCCAACTCTATCAGAAATTGCAAATCTGTCGCACATTAAGGCATAGCTTGGAGCCTTATATCTTCGACTATATGGACCACGTTTTATATGAGAAGTATTTTGTAAACTTTCCGAACTGCTTTTAAAATCAATATCAACATCTGGAGTATATGCCTCACCTGGAGTAATATTGCTGGTTATTGTAGATTCTGATACTTCATCTTCAATTTTTATAATATATTCTGGTATCGTAGATTTCCTCTCATTATGTTGATCCATCATAAACGCTTGTAAATGTTTTGGGATCAATCCACAAGAACACAGTAATCTTCGCAAATCGCATTTGCATTTTCCAATATAAAATAATTCTTTCGTGGATTCTACAAACTCCTGAAATGATGCTTGGGTAGACTTGCTTTTATTTGTACTTTTATATTTATCAATCAATCGGTTCAATTTTCTAGCGATACTTCGTTTCTCCATAATTGGAATATCAATTTTTTCCCACGTCTGAATCAATTTCGTTACCACATTTGGAGTAAATGTTTTATATGAAAACATTTTATTTTGTTTTTTTGATTCTTCGGCCAAATAAAAATAATACCTGATAATTTCCATACTTGTCGGAAGATTTACTCCAGTAAATTCTGTTGCTTCCCCAAATGTAATTTGATCATGCGAGCGCATATGATTCAAATTACTAGCACTTGCGCCTGAATTTAAATAAGAATTCGCCATTGATACTTCACGTCTAACTGGAGAACTGAATGAAGATTTATGCGAATTTTCCACATTAATATATTCTTTTCGAAAGTTCGAGAATTATTATAAAAAAATACTAGCGCACTCTGATGGAAATAAATAACAACAAACTAAACCCGATTTAAAAACCCCCGTACAAACTATTAAAAGAAATATAACTCACAATTGGAATTATTCACATGCCTAAATTAATATATTAACTTATTAAAAACAGTATTTTATTGAAAATTTCGCTGGCTAAAGAGTTATTTGCGATATATGGTTTTGAAGTCAAAATTCATTTAAATAACACATATATTTCATATGAAAAGGTGCCCATATCGCTTAATTTTACTTCTATAATGATTTGGCCCGCTCTAATATATATATATATATATATATATTTGTGATCATTTATGTACATATATATATATGTATTGTGTGTATATATATATATATATATTATATATATATATATGTATATATGTATATATATATATGTGTGTATATATGTATATATACATGTTTATGCGTATATGTATGTGTATACGTGTATAGCTATAGTTACATTTTTTTTTTTTTTTATAGAGGTGCGAAAAAAAATCTTCATAAGACACCGCCATCGTTGATACTCCGCTGTCCATCCTACAGCAGACAAAGATGGGCGGCCGTGTGGAGATTTTTACCCACTAAAAAAAACACTCCTCTCCCCTCTCCCCGCAGATGGTACGGGGAGGACTGGATTGGAACCGCGTTAGCATTACATCAATCCAGTCCGTGCTGCGCCTTGCAACGCCTGTTTACGACTACTGGTCCCTTTCTCCGGTTTAGCCTTCAAAAGATGCTGTGCATAAGCTGCTACAGCTGACCAGTTTTCTTCTTGTTTCATCATGTAGGTCACAAGACTTGAGGGGGTAAGCCTGGTGCCTATAATGTGCTCGGCGTTGTTTCGATAATCCTTCCACCTAGCACATTCAAAGAACGTGTGTTCAGCGTCGTCTATTTTATATGGACAGTATTTGCACACTGGCGTGCTATGCAATCCCATCTTAAAAAGATAGGCATTGAACTGTCCATGTCCTGTTAGTAGCTGGGTTAGAAAGAAATCTGTGTCCCCGTATTGTCGAGAGAGCCAGACGCTAATGTCTGGAATCAGACGCGCCGTCCATCTGCCCGTCTCTCCTGACGTCCAGCGATTTTGCCACTCTTGTATCGTTTCATTTTTAATTCTCGACCTTGTTTCTCTGGAATCGTCACCACCTAATTAGCGTCGTAGAGTTTCACTCTCTCGAAAGCTAGCAAGTCAATCGGTGTGGCTCCTGCTATTACCAGCACGGCTGCTTCTGAGACTGTGCGATAGGCACAGGTAACTCTCAGAGCTCCTCGTCTTTGCACTGCCGCTATTTTGCGCCGATAAGTCTTTTGCTTGAGGATATCCGCCCATATCTCTGTTCCGTAAAGCAGTACAGAATGGACTACCTCAAGCAGGACTCGTCGTTTTCGGGTTTGTGGTCCCATGCAGTTAGCCATAATCCTTGACAAGTTGGATACCGTCTTGCTAGCTTTTATGCATGCACTATCGAGATGTTCGCGGAAGGATAGCTTCTCATCTATCATTACTACCAGGTAGCGCAAGGCCTTGTCGACGTCAAAGTTGTCTCTCCCACGTCTACGGTGAATGGTTTTGGAAACCACTTTTGTCGGGTCAAGACAACCATCTCCGTTTTTGTTTGGCGAGTTTTAGGTGGTGTTTCTCAAGCCAGGTCTCTATGGTGTCGACGGTCTCTCGAACGAGTAGTTCAGCCTCCTCAATGCTGTCCACTACGATTGTGGCTGCGACGTCGTCCGCAAAGCCCGTGAGTTCCACCTGCTTCGGCAAGGGAATCTCCAGGAGCTCGTCGTAGACAGCGTTCCACAAATCAGCTCCTAAGATTGAGCCTTGAGGTACCCCAGCTGTAACCTCGTGTTCTTGATGACCTTCCGTCGTTTCCACTATCAACTTTCTCCCATCGAGGTAGTCGTCTATTAGTCCTAGATTTTCTGGCTTTACGTCAAAATTATGCTCTAGGGCGTGTAAAATATCCTCCCAATTCGCACTGTTAAACGCGTTTTTAACGTCGAATGTGAGAAGGAGACACACTTTACGAGCTTTAAGACTACCACGCCATGCTTCTCTTGCTGTTTCCGTTACCTTCCGAATCGCGCCGATCGTCGATCGTCCTTTTTGAAATCCGTGTTGGTTCTTAGCAAAACCTCCGGCGCATTCTATGTCGTTGCGCAGTCTGCATTGAATAAGTTTCTCAAGCAGTTTGCCGGCGATGTCTAACATGCAGAGTGGTCGAAACGACGATGGCGTTACAGGGGTTCCCTTACCTTTGTCTATTAGGACCAATCTTTGCCGCTTCCAGACCGTAGGAAAGGTGCCGGTCGCCAGACAGGCATTGTAGGCGTTCAGAAGAATATACGGAAATTCCAAGGCTACAATCTTGATCACTGAGGCTGGGATGCCATCAGGGCCTGGTGCTTTGCCAGTTTTTATGGTTTTTGCCGCATCTTGGAGTTCTTTGACAGTGAAGGGCGTAGTTTCACTGTTTTCCACGTATTGTCTCCTTTTCCGTGGCGGATGTTTAGGGAATAGTTCCGCTACGATAGAATTCATCAGAGCAGGAGATTTCGGTGCTTCTGGTAAAGCTCTACCAAGTCGTTTTGTAACGATTTGATAGGCTTTGCCCCAGAGATCTTTGTCAAGGTCATTGCAGATTTCCTTCCACAATCCGGCTTTAGCTGATTTTATGGCTTTATTTAGGCTCTTCTTTGCCTGTTTGTACTCGTTTGTATACAAATCTTGGTAGGGGGAGCGTTTTGCAGCTCTTGTGGCGCGGCGACGTGATGCGTGGCATCTTTTCCGTAGTTCTGCTATCTCTGATGACCACCAATATGCTGGACAGTGCACACCCTGATTTTTGGTCGTGGCATAGAGGCGTTACACGAGGTGACAATAGCGTTCATAGTTTTAAAAACCGTTTCTTCCGTTTCTCTGCGGGTACTTAGTTTTGGATCAGCTTGAAGAGTAGATGCGTTTTGCTCGAGGGCTGCTCGCAACGCTTCCTGGTCAAGCTTCTTGGCATTCCACCTTCGTTTGCAAGAGTTGCTTGGTCGAGTCGGACCGGATCCAATACTAAATGTCACATGTTGATGATCACTGCCACTATACTCTTCAGATACAGTCCAGTCTCCAATCATGTTCGCCGTCCTTGGAGTGGCAAACGTAATGTCGAGAATAGATTCCTGATACCCTGGTCTTCTAAAGGTTGTAATACTCCCAGTATTTAACACAGTAAGGTCTAATCTTGCAGCAAAGTCTGCCACGTCATTTCCTCTAGTGTCCGAGTATTCGGCGCCCCATTCTGCCGATTTCGCGTTGAAATCACCAGCTACAATGACTTCTCCGTCAAATTTGCCGAGAGTGTCTTCTATGCTTGCCATTTTCTGGCGAAATACGCTGATCCCTTCATTTGGTGAGAGGTAGACGCTTACACAGTAGGTCGTGGGAGTCTTGATCCAGACGAACCCCTCGCCGCTTCCGTTGTCATTGACGGTGATCTTCTTTGAGTTTGTGATCCATATTGCTGCCGTGCCAGATTTATCTGCGAACCATGTTTTATTCTGAATATTCATATATTGCTCGCAGATAAGGCAGATATCGATCTTATCTTCAAAGATACGTTGGCGCAGTAGATTCTGCGCCAAGGCACATCTGTTCAGATTACCTTGTAGAAATCGCGTCATTTCTGTTCTCTCGTGGCTTCGGCAAGTGCTACACGGAATGCTTTACAGGTACCGGATCCGGCGACATGGCTCCCGCTGTTTCGATCTTCTTTGTCTACTGTACATAAAAAGCATTTTGGCTTTTCCGCGCAGTCTACAGACTTGTGATTTTCCCCGCCGCATTTGTAGCAACACTTGCTTCTGTCTGGTCCCCCGCATTTATGCGTTTGATGTCCGAAACCGAGGCATTTAAAGCAGCGGGCCACTTTAACAACTGGGCGAATGCGACAGTTAACCCACCCAATTCTTATGCGGGCCCCATTTAGGGCTTTGATTGCATTAGCCTCGTCTATCTCACAGAAGGCCGCTCGTTGTCCTCTTGATGTGACTTTGGTCAAGTTCACTCGTCGTATTTCCAGTTTTGTCGTAAAGTCCCGAATGAGTGCTTTACGAACGTCATTTTCGGTAGAGACACCATCAAGATCAAGAATCTCTATCGTCGTCAGCGGCGTCAGTGATTTCACTGTTCCTATGTTTTCAGTAGCTGCCCTTATCGCAGCTGCAAAGGCTGCACTATCTTCGGACTTGGGACTCATTTCCAGTAATACACCTCCATTTCTTGTCTGTTTGATGGACTTTATGTCCACGCCAGTCTCTGTCGGGTTTACTTTTTCCTTGATCTCCTTAAGGATGTCAGCGTACGTTCGTCCTTCAGCTGGTTGAACCAGAACAGCCTTGGTTCTATGTTTCCTCCGAGTTGTCCTATGATGGTTGTTTCTGTGCTTAGCACTATCATTTGTTTCGATTTTTTCGGTTTCCGGTTTCTCGGTTTCCTCCAAGATTTCTTTCGGATCTCGGGCTCCTTTCTTCTTCGAACTTTTTCGAACCACTTTCGTCCAGTTATTTTCTACAGCCGATTTTTTAGGCGGATGTGTTTCCGCGTCAGAGGTGGGACTAAGTGAAGATAGCAACCTTTTGTTTGTGTTTTGCTCCTGGGTCTTAGGAGTTGGCGTCTGAGTTACACCCGGTTTAATAGTTTTCTCGGGAGAGGTCTGTGTAGTTTGCACAGTCATTGCGAGAGCTTTGGGGGTTGCCGTATATTCTTTCAATGCCAGGCTATATGCTGTATCAATCGACCTAATTAGCTCCTTTATTCTGCTGTGAACATTGTTCCTATCTTTCACATACTCCGCTAGCTCGTCAATTTTGGAGCCAAGTCTCTCCATCGGCGTTTGACGACATCTAGTCGATGGTGCAGAGTTCACTCTGTCACGGTGAAGATTACCGGGAACCTTCTTGCCTCCTCTTACTATAGCGGCTTTTGCCGCATCATGCTCGACGTCCATAATTACGTCACCTGTCTCTTGTTTTTTTGGGTTTTCATAGTTATCCATGCTATTTAAATAGTCCTCCAGAGCAAAAGGTCGTCTCCGAACGCGGTGCCTTGGGAAGTGGAGGGGTGATCACCCCTACAGCTACCTCCATTACTGTAAGAGCTTGTGACCATTGGAGTGGGAAAAAAACATCCGCTCCGGCCGTGCACCTTCTTCCTTCATTGGCATCCTCTTGCTCCCGTGGGTGCGGCACGTTGATGCCGGGAGTTTTCACGTACGATGCGCTATATGGATCATCCACACATCTCTTTCGAGCAGTGTCCCCTCATCCGCTTCCGTATGTGACCCTAGGTCAGATGGTGTGACCAACCAAAAGGGAGTTTTTAATTTTTTCCGCGATACACGGACGGTGGCTGTTACTCCTCAGCTCCGATGCCATATTTGGTCCGCGAGGGCTATTTTATTTCGCCCCAATCCGCCGATCTTACGATCGGTTAGGATACCCCCTATCCGCCACCTGGGGACGCGCCCGGTAGGAGTTTGGCTTCTCCCGACGGGAGACAAAGCGGATGGTTTTCCAACTCGTGAACAGGCAACGTATAACTGCCCATGTGAAAAACAATGATTTTCTAAATAATCTATTTGATATTTATCCCGCAAACACTAAGCGATTGGCTTTGCGACTTGTTATTGCGAACGCAAGGCGAACTGGAAATTGCAATCGTTTGAAGTCAAACGAAAGACCAGTCGGAATTATTGGCATGTCACCAAATCGCCAGCAATTTTTGATTTAATGGTGAAATTCAGTGCGTGTATATCATTATTCTTTGCGGCAAGAATTGCTCGTTGACTTAACTTAAATTGTCGATATCAGTTCGTGCGTTCTGGAGTTATTTCGTCAGGAAGGAAAACCCGACTTATTTTTATATATATACAAGATAATCTATTTGAAATTATTTAAAACAATTGTTGATTATTTTTATTACTCGAATTGTTAATTACGGTGCGTGAAGTTCCAGCAATTTGCATTAGGGTACGATGCCATGCACCACTAATTTTCTTAGCTATAAACTTTGCGGAGCCCGAGACCTTTCCAACAAATGCTAAATTGTCGATATCTGTTCGTGCGTTCTGGAGTTATTTCGTCAGGAAGGAAAACCCGACTTATTTTTATATATATAGAAGATATATATATATATATATATATATATATATATATATATGTATTTGTATGTTTATATATATATATATGTATTTGTATGTATGTATGTATATATATGTATATTACTTATTTACATGTATGTTTGTATGTATATGCATATGTATATGTGTATACATGTATTTGTATATGCGTATATATGTATGTATGTATGTGTATATATAGATATATATATATATATGTATGTGTATATATGTATATATATATATATATATATATATTTTGTGATCATTTATGTACATATATATATGTATTGTGTGTATATATATATATATATATATATATATGTATATATATGTATATATATATATGTGTGTATATATGTATATATACATGTTTATGCGTATATGTATGTGTATACGTGTATAGCTATAGTTACATAGATAGGTATGAGTATATGTATGGTTCATACATGTACATGTACGTCGTTGTGAATATGCATGCACGCTGCATATATGTATATACGTATATTTATATATGTATAGTCGTACATGTATATGTGTACATATATAGGTATTTATCGCTGTATCTGTATATGTATTGTTTATTATATGTTTGCATGTGTGTGTATATGGATATATGCATGTATATATATATATATATATATATATATATATATAAGTATATGTGTGTATATGTGTATGTATATATATGTATATATGCGTAGGTTTATATGAGTGTACTTAAATATTTTTGCCTATACTTTTTAATTATTTATTTAATTCTAGTCTCTACTACCTTTCCTATCTTTTATATTTGGTTTGTTGTTAAGTGTTGCTGTTTGTTAATTTTTCTCTTATTGTATAGTTACTTTACCAATCCACATATATTATAATTACCTAGATATACTAATTTTCATACTGTTTTTAGATCCACTGATGATGACATTAAATTGAATGTCGAAACGTTTGGAAATAAAGATTATTTTATAAATCTTTGGCTTTTCTTTGTTTGATGTATCGCCCTCAAGAACTCACTCATATATATATATATATATATATATATATATATATATATATATATATATATGTATAAGCATAAATGTATAAAGCAATCCATAATCTCTTATACCAGGCACCCCCGCCTGTCTGAGAATAGGATATATTAAATGTTTATATTGCTAAATAAATAAAAAAAAATCTACTTCGTTTTAATCCTTAAGTAATAAGTGACTTAATCGATTCCATTGTTATACTATTTAAAAATCTTATTTTTTTTGGTGAAATGGCTTATATTAATTTTAGATGCAAGCTTGAAAATACAAGAGACTAAACAATCTGCTCAAATTGTTAGCGGTAGGTTTCATTAATATTTTGGGTTTTAATGTCCATGAAATTGTTAGATACTTTAAAATGATTTTATTGTCATGATAAGTTTAAATTTGTATTATTAATTCAATTTTCTCCTACGTAATGGTAAATATTTGGAAACCGAAACAGATGAACCTAAAACTTTACAATCCCTTTTAAATGGCGATGGAAGTATTGATGAATCCGTGAGAATTGCAAGTGAAGAATCAGGTAATTTTATTCAGGACAAAAGAAAATCGATTAATATGCATATAATTTAACAGCCAATTGTTTATTACAGCGTTTAAATGGCCCCACAAAGCTATTCTTTTGCTTCTTGAATATGAAAAACGACAAATGGATTTTATTAGTGGGAAAATGTCGCAAAAAATATTGTGGCTGGAAATTAGTGCTGAACTGAAATCTCACGGATATATCAGTACAGATCATCAGTAATCAAGTTTTCAGTAATGAATAAGACTTATAAAAAAATAAAAGACCATAATAATAAGTCTGAAAATTCTGCTAAACATTCGCCATATCTGACTGTAAGTTATATTTCCAGAAAACCATAATTTTTGAAATTTTTAATTTTTAAGTTAATGGATGATCTGATGGGTGATAAACCTTCAATTACACCTGTATCTGTTTGCTCTTCTACTGAAAAAAAAGGACTTTATCCGAAAGTAGTTGCAAGAGTCGGAGTAGCAGTAGCAGTAATATGGATATTGAAGCAAACCGTAAGGATATTTAATTTGTTTTGAAGATTTCTCTACGCTAATAAGAATATAATATTTTTTTTGGCAGGAAAAAAGCAAAAAGTGCCCCCGCTAGTGATTTAATTGCTGCCTTTGAAGAGAGGTCAAGGATAAGCGAACAAAATAAGGAGCGTCGCTTCAGAGAATTCATGGCATTTAAAGAACAAAAAGCTAAAGAGTCATAGTACTCCCCCAAAATAAACATTTGACGGCTATCTGTCAAATGAAAAGTTAATTTTACGTCACATGTTAAACGTAACTTTCTTTTTTGGAGTCTTTTTAGTAGATTTCGTTTCTGATAGTCTGTGATGTGAATCTGATCTGATCTGATCAGACAATCAGTATCTGATTTGTTTTAATCTCTCTACAGTAAAGTTCTTTTCCGTCCCATTTATGCGGTGTTTACAGATCCGGTCAGTAA